TGGTTTATGGCATGTTGACATACCCACATCCCCAATGATTCTCCATTGAACATTATAGAATCATATGAGCTGTTCAATATCCCCCTATCATCCTCTATCATTCCATGTAATCCTGGTTGGTTTATATTTAGGGGTTCCCCGTTCTTGGAATATTCTAATCCCCAATATATTGAGTGATATAATCTCCCAACTAATCATCGACCAACAGGGGTTTTGAACACTAATTCGCCTGCCCGAAGGCCACCCGCAGCAGATCGAAGATGATCGAAGTCTCGATGTGGAACTGAGCTCTGACCAATGACCACTGTGAGCCCGCAGGGAAATCAACGAAATGGCAGTGGTATATGTTTTTCCTGGGAAAATACAAGAAAATCATCTGTAAATATGAATCATCTATCCTCACTGACTGAGTTTGATTTAAATGTGTCTGAGACATCTTGAGATCTATAATTCACTGAGATTCTTCGAAAATGACCTTCAAGACGATACAGATCTCTGAAATTCTCTGAAACTGACCCAGGATTGAACCGACTCTGAGATGGGGAGTTTCTTGGCGTGTCAATGCCCAACTTGAGCCACCGGCCAACTGCTGGAAGATGCTGGAAGGAGGATCACACTCAATGTGTTGCACAGCATCTTATACCGAAGCTCCTGAGTAACGCACGGCACCAAATCCACTCACTGGCTTAATCCAAGAGAAGAAATCCAGTGCAGACAGTGGTGTGCAAATCCCAATATGCAAGTTCCAGTTGGAAAATAATCATGGTCAATCTTGGGTAGTCCACAAAAAACAACAAACATCTAATATGATGGTTGATGGTCAGTTATATTTCATATCATAGCAAAAAACTAAAGGACTAAACTATCCATCCAGACTCAGTCGGTGCAAGTCCTCGCATGACGTCAGCTGACTGTTGGCATCCCTGGTCAGCAAGATTCAGCAACTGCAGTATGTCGTCGAAATATCCAATTCAAAATCCAGAGTGTATTGCAACCATGGTGAATCTTGATGCATCTTGATACCTGATGATACCTGCCAAAAAAAAATCTAAATAAATCTAATGTTTAGCTATGTTTAGCAGAAATCGTATACGTAATCTTGATAGCGACAGAATGAAGTCGACAATATATAGCCAAGTGAGATTTTTGCGCTCCGGACCCTCGCCACGTTGATCGTATTGATAGGCATCATCCCCTCGAAACGAGTCGTCCCAACGAGTCACCGTGTCCCGCACCGGTAACCAAAAAAACAATATATTCCGGGTCAAAATGCTACCAGAAAGGTATGGTTTTGTATTTCTGTAAACTGAGGACTGACAACAAGTCTATCAGCGAGGTTCTCATTTTGCTTAGTTATTAGGGGTGATTCTCCTTTTATGTGTAAAAACAATTTCATAAACCAACCCCCATATCACCACAGATAGATGCCAAAAAAACATTCCCAGTCATGGGTGGTTTATGGCATGGTGGCAAACCCACATCCCCAATGATTCTCCATTGAACATTATAGAATCATATGGGCTGTTCAATATCCCCCTATCATCCTCTTTCATTCCATGTAATCCTGGTTGGTTTATATTTAGGGGTTCCCCGTTCTTGGAATATTCTAATCCCCAATATATTGAGTGATATAATCTCCCAACTAATCATCAACCAACAGGGGTTTTGAACACTAATTCGCCTGCCCGAAGGCCACCCGCAGCAGATCGAAGATGATCGAAGTCTCGATGTGGAACTGAGCTCTGACAAAGGACCACTGTGAGCCCGCAGGGAAATCAACGAAATGGCAGTGGTATATGTTTTTCCCGGGAAAATACAGGAAAATCATCTGTAAATATGAATCATCTATCCTCACTGACTGAATTTGATTTAAATGTGTCTGAGACATCTTGAGATCTATAATTCACTGAGATTCTTCGAAAATGACCTTCAAGACGATACAGATCTCTGGAATTCTCTGAAACTGACCCAGGATTGAACCGACTCTGAGATGGGGAGTTTCTTGGCGTGTCAATGTCTCGCAAACCAAAGCCGGTACGGAACCAGCAAGAGAGCGGAACCCGCAATCCTGTGTGCATCCTTCTGCATCGCAAGATGTGTAGATGTGTGACCTACTAGAAAAGTTCGTCCATAGTCCATAGCGCAAAAGTATACACAAAAGTTGGTCCATCCTGCAGAGGTGATTACAGAGCTGGAAATTCCACCCCTTCCACCAATCCTCACTGGGCTCTGGCACCTTAAGGCTATGGCCATGGGAACGTAGCCGTCGCGATCAATGTCGCTCTGGCGACGGGGGAGCAGCGTCAAATTTAGCTTTGCAAGACGGGTACCCTCAAATACCCTCAAATCGAATGGTGTTATGCGCTGTCATCATGCAATGTCCTACTTAAATTAAAATTTTTGGAGTGACCCATTCCATGCGAAAATTGAATGGACCTCATTTCCACGTAGAGATCCAGTATGAAACCCCAACATACTTCTGGTCAGTGACTGCTACCTCCTACCATTTACAGTACATATTTGGGCCAATGAAATTCATGGGCGGCTCCATGCGGCTCCCCTGAGATGAAATCATCACCGACCAGTGGGAATGTCGGACATAAGGTCATTAGGGGTGATTCTCCTTTTATGTGTAAAAACAATTTCATAAACCATCCCCCACATCACCACAGATAGATGCCAAAAAAACATTCCCAGTCATGGGTGGTTTATGGCATGGTGGCAAACCCACATCCCCAATGATTCTCCATTGAACATTATAGAATCATATGAGCTGTTCAATATCCCCCTATCATCCTCTTTCATTCCATGTAATCCTGGTTGGTTTATATTTAGGGGTTCCCCGTTCTTGGAATATTCTAATCCCCAATATATTGAGTGATATAATCTCCCAACTAATCATCAACCAACAGGGGTTTTGAACACTAATTCGCCTGCCCGAAGGCCACCCGCAGCAGATCGAAGATGATCGAAGTCTCGATGTGGAACTGAGCTCTGACAAAGGACCACTGTGAGCCCGCAGGGAAATCAACGAAATGGCAGTGGTATATGTTTTTCCCGGGAAAATACAGGAAAATCATCTGTAAATATGAATCATCTATCCTCACTGACTGAGTTTGATTTAAATGTGTCTGAGACATCTTGAGATCTATAATTCACTGAGATTCTTCGAAAATGACCTTCAAGACGATACAGATCTCTGAGATTCTCTGAAGCTGACCCAGGATTGAACCGACTGTGAGATGGGGAGTTTCTTGGCGTGTCAATGCCCAACTTGAGCCACCGGCCAACTGCTGGAAGGAGGATCACACTCAATGTGTTGCACAGCATCTTATACCGAAGCTCCTGAGTAACGCACGGCACCAAATCCACTCACTGGCTTAATCCAAGAGAAGAAATCCAGTGCAGACAGTGGTGTGCAAGTACATTTCAATTGTTCCAGGAGGTCCGGTCCTGTAATTCTTTGTCCAATTCATAGCGGTTTCGATCCGTCAGTGGCTGATGGAATTACAGCCCCAAAATCCCAATATGCAAGTTCCAGTTGGAAAATAATCATGGTCAATCTTGGGTAGTCCACAAAAAACAAAAAACATCTAACATGATGGTTGATGGTAAGTTATATTTCATATATTTTCATATCATAGCAAAACACTAAAGGACTAAACTATCCATCCAGACTCCGTCGGTGCAAGTCCTCGCATGACGTCAGCTGACTGTTGGCATATGTTGGCATCCCTGGTCAGCAAGATTCAGCAACTGCAGTATGTCGTCGAAATATCCGATTCAAAATCCAGAGTGTATTGCAACCATGGTGAATCTTGATGAATTTTGATACCTGATGATACCTGCCAAAAAAACTCTAAATAAATCTAATGTTTAGCTATGTTTAGCAGAAATCGTATACGTAATCATGATAGCGACAGAATGAAGTCTACAATATATAGCCAAGTGAGATTTTTGCGCTCCGGACCCTCGCCACGTTGATCGTATTGATAGGCATCATCCCATTAAATATCAACATCCCATTAAACCACCATGTTTAAGGAATGATTCCACAACCAAAAATGTACACCTAGCGTAATCATTGGGTGATTGGAAATCAGGCACCCCAAAATCCCAATGGTTTCTCATCATCTGCATTTCATTCTCCCCATGATTGGCAAAGACATACCCCATGTTAAGACACGATGGGTATACCCTCTGATAAACTAACATAGCTATGGAAATTGGTCATTTATAGTGAGTTTTCCCATTTAAAATTGTTGTTTTCTATAGCTGTGTTAGGTTACCAGAGGGTGCATGTATTGTATACATGTAAATGTATGATAATCTGAAGAAGTGATAGCTATTCACCAACCTGAAAGGTTCGGTTGCCTTTTGGGATACTTGCCCCAGTCAGATACTATCATACTGATCAAATCTTCGTATACCCGACATATCTGTCTCAGAATTCTATCCCCATATTGTAGTGCTACTGGTCGTAGGATGAAAATGCTATATCACCAGAAATACCAGAATTTAAGTGTGCTAAAATATGCTAAATATGCACGGTAAATTGTTCTGAATCCATACAGCCGTCAATTTTACACCATCCATTAAATCACCATGTCCCATATGTTCCCATTAAATCACAGTATATCCATTCTACCCACCATCCCATTGCTGGCTGTCATGGCACCTCGATCCAGGATATTCCAGGATGGTACCAGGAAGTGAGATGATATGAGGTGATACCGGCAGTGACCTGACCCAACCCGAACCCAACCAACCCAAGCAGCAAACTAAGACCTAAACGACAGCACTGGTGATTTTTGTTTTATACCTGGCAGATACCAAACTTTGTTCATTGATGTTCATTTACCCTCTAGTAAACTCACATAGCTATGGAAAATCACGATGCTTCCAATGCTGGCATACGGACACTTTTTTTGCTGTCCAAGATTGTCTGAAGCTGCCTGGATACGTGCTTCCAAGATTGTCATATTGGCCATGGACCGTGCCTAGCGGTCTGAGCTGAGCGAATTTTCGATACTCGCTAACTCTGCCTGCTTCATATTCAAGGCATCCTTCAGTTCGGCAACCTCCGCAATCAAGGCAGATTTGCGCTTTTTGAGGTTGGTGGTCATGGCATCCTTGTACAAGTCTTCGCTGCTGTAGCAGTCCTCCGTCAGCCACGTCATGCACATCTGGAACGGCGCATAGTTCAGCTGCACCGTCTTCCAGTCTCGGTACTTGGAGAGGGTCTCCAAAGGAAGCATCCAAAAGGCACCCATTGGGTGTGAGATAGCCGGCTCAGTGGTGATGAGCCCAGGGTATTCGATCCGCACCAGTTTCAAATCCATTCGCTTGAAAGCGAAAAATCCGAGAGTCATAGCCTGCACCTCCGAACTGCAGACCGGATAGGAAATTTCGCCACCGACTTGAAAAGGGTGCTCACTGGAGGCGGCATTGTTCCCAAGCAGCCGTAGCAAGGGGCCAACACAAGCCTCTTCCAAGCTGTTTTCATTGCTCAGATCATCGATGGCAATGTAGTATTTGAACAGGGCATGGGCAGGCGAGGTGCTCGTCGTCGTGCAAACCCAAGGCCCGATGACGCGTGGCTGGATGGTGCAGTGCCTAGACGCAGGCACCAGTATGAGATTCAATGCATATGTACTTGATGAAAGAATTCTGCCAGGAATGCAAGCCACTGCCAATCACCAAAAAAAAGCTTGGTATTCTTTCTCTGTTGGCCAAATCAAACTATTAAAATTTCTCTGTTTGGGTAGTCACAATAGTTACGCGATTCTTGATGGCTTGAATGATTTGCAAAGCATGGAAAAACACAGGCACCTGGCTCTCAGCTTGAAGTTGGCAGTGAAGGTACTGTCCGGAAGAAAGGGGCACTGCTGCACCGCGAGATAGTAGATCTGGTCATCTGACAACTGAAGGATCTTCTTGGACAGCAGCTCCGGAACGTTCTCCTTCGTGACAAGTTCAAATATCACGAAGTTGGGATCCTTGAGGGCACGATCCATCTCCGCAGCTGTCCGAGAGGCCCTCAAACTCTTCCTGCGCGGAGCAGTGCTACTGGAAAGCGTGCCTCCAAGGCTCCGAACAGAAGTCTTGCGTACTTCCCAGACAGCTCCCATGGGCGAAGATGCAAACTCCTGCAAGCCCGGTCTGTCAGCGCCTTGCAAAACAGCTTCCTTGCAGCGCTGGAACTTCTCCAGAGGGAAAGCTGCCCAGCCCACAGTGGTCCAGCTCTTTGCGTCACGGCTCGGCTCTCCTTCTGGTTCTGCTGCTCCGGCCATGGCAAGCACTGCGCTCATTTGCAAGATTTTGCAAGCACGATGCGGAGGGATCTTGGACTTTGGACCTTGAAGCAACAATGTGGAAACACGGACCTTAGACCGAGACCTTCAAACTTCCGACACCAGCATGCGCTGCTCTAACAGCATTGAACAAAACCAGGTTCAAGCTGTGAATCGAATTTGCAACGGTCTCACCAAACAACAAAAAGATACAAGAAGCACATCATCCCCCATGAGCAATTTTCAAGCCAATATCCTGCATGGTGTCGTTTAAATTCCTTTGGTTTAACTTAACTCCACTAAATAAGTTCATATCCACATAGTTTGTGGTTGTGGAATGCCCCAAGTGTCGTTGTGATGCAAGCACCATGCCAATGGCACCTCGAACCCACGCCGCCACTCCAAACTCGATCCATCTCGATCCGGACGGCCTCCGGAAGAAAAACATGGGAAGCACATATACCCAACAAACCTGCGATTGTTATTCTTAAATTGGGTGGCAGGAAAAATAGGGCCAACTATATGATTGTTGTCCCTATTTCTGGGGTCTGTGTTTCTCAGCAGCGAAACCCAGGTGATCGCATTTATTTATCGCAATGTTTCACTCGGAAATGTGTTGCAACGTTTTCCTGGCCGGCTTGATGTTGAAACAATTAGTCACGACGCGGCAAGATCAGCAAGAAGGCGGCCAAAAGTTCGCCTTCCCATTTGCCAAGTCGCAAGCATCAAGTGAAGTTTTGGAGCATCACAGCTTGATTTCGGTGCATTTTCCATGCTTGTGGTGCTGTTCTTCTAGACAGCTGAGGTTACATCACGACAAGGCATGACAATGTTGAGATCGGGGCTCGCGAGGTCGCTTCCACTTTTTCGTGTTCCAGACCTGCTGGGGTAGCGCATGGTAGCGCAGTGTGATTGACTGACAGCGGGAAGGCTCATCCATAGCTTCATCAGATTTCACCAATGTGCTCATGACATTGCATGTGTTCGCTTGATGGTCACCAAGGCTGGGACTTCAAGGTCAACATGTATATCCTGACCCGGCATCTTTGGTTACACAGATTCAAGACGAGCACAAAATATATCAAAATATATTAGGTTCGGCTTGAATCAATATCACAAAACATTGGAGGATAAACTCAAAAATAAAGAATCTAAGGGGGGCACAGATATTCACGGATCTTTGGATTAATAAAATTGTGTATATATATACATATATATATATATGTGTGATTATGTGTGTAAGTATATATTTGTATATATCTTTGGACATAGATCCAGAGTGTTTTGTACAGGTTGTGCGTTGAATTTGGAGTTTGTGTAATATACATATGTATCTGTGTATACATTTTGATTCCATTATATATATGGGTCAGTGGTTTCATGTGGTTTCTCTATATTCCACCTCAGTGCCTGCCCCAGTAATGGATATGATTTTCTATGTTTTCCATCGGCCAATGTATATCAATGTATTGTGAGAAGGTTAGGTAACCATCAGCGTTGTCCCATGTTGTCCCTACCCATAATATCCTCGATACATGTACGTATATATATATATATATATATACACCTACATTAATAGGCCATAGACGTTGATGGATGGTAGCCACTGCAATCCGAATATTTTTGTGTTATTGGCATTTCTCATGGTGAAATGTAGCATCTCAGCACCAGGCAGCCAAATCACAGCCACAGCGCCAGCACGTTCACCCCAGCTTTGGAGGTATGTTGCTGCAGCCTGGGGGATCTGACAGCCGGAACCCAAAGCCCAATTCATCCCAATTCCAACATATTCCAACCAATGGTTTATCATCAACTTCCCTTAAAACAAAGAAAAAAATCACTATACCCAAATCCCACTGGTCTACCAGTTTACCAATATCCGCAGTGATCATCCAAATGAATGCTTGACATGGCTGGGGCAAACCCTAGCGATTGACACCTTTTGCTGGCCAGCTGATTCGACACTGCAACATCAATGATTCTGCAACATCCGCACTGCACGTCACGCAAGGTGGCAAAGCGGCCGCTGCACTAATGCAGAAATTGCGACATGCCAGTCACACCATGAACATTGCTCATGGGATCATGTGCGACTAATTGCATTAATTTGCAATTAATTAGGCCATATCTAGCAGGATATGCCTTGACTTAAGATGGACTTAGGGGCTTTATAAACGGACTCAGGGCAGTTAAGTTATAGGTTGTGGAATTGTGATGAATTGTGGAAGTTAAGTTATAAATATATAAATATATGATATTTTGTATCTGTTTTGGCGCTAACTTTCGCATTTTTTTTTGCACTTATCCTGTGATTTGGGAAGTTCCGTTTATCCTGCTGCATGTCGCTTCCTTAGCTTTTGATCTCGAAATTTGACGAGTTTCTGGCAAAAACCGCGGCTCGGGTGAGTTTGAGCGAGACCAAAAAAAAGATTTTAGTATAGAGGAAACCTGAAAAAAAACACGTTTTGAACACATACGCGCTTTCAAGCACCATGGTGATGAGAGCTGGAAACACAATCGCGTTCTCTTGCCATTTCAATAGTATCATGGGGATATACATACGCGTTCCCGCGCTGTGGCGCAAACACATCCCGAATGTCGAGATTTTTTGATTTTTGAGCACCCTGTGTGTAGATGTGGAAACACATGTGCATTCCACAAAAACCTTCTCTCATCTTCTCTTCAACACTCGGATTTGAAGTCCTGCAGCGTCTCTGTCGGTGCTATCCGATTTCAGCTTGTGCTCCACGCAAAAAAAATAAACAAATAAGCGATCTAGGCTATGGTTGGTATTTTGTTTGATGTAGCTGCCATCTGATCGTATACCTCCCTATCTATTGATACCACTCTGACCTGATTTATGCTATACACGTATAACCCCTATTATATACATACTTGAACCATGTGTTAAAATCAAATGCACAACATATAAAACTATTTGCATCTCGGGGCACATCATTGCAGAACTATCTAGATATTAATTGGGTGCATGAGCCTTGAGAGAAAGAGTCATGTTCGCGCATATTCGCGCATTTGGCCAGGTCATCACCTCATTGTACCTCATCTCTGCGAAGCGCTGCCGCTCTCTTTCGCTTGGGAGCCCTGGCACGAGCCATGGAAGGCTGCTGCTCGGATCTGTGCAGCATCCGCCTGGCCATGCCCAATCGTCCAAGGGGGGTTATGCTGACCCCTGCTCCTGATGGAATCGTGAGGATCTTGGCCATTCGCATCAATCTCTGGAACTCATCAGACTTGTGGTAACGCTTCCATGCGGAACAGCACTGGCATAAGAGACAATTTACAAGCCACACTTCGGTCCGCACCATCTCCGGACAATCAGGATGCCCCAGTAGCTCTCGCGGAGATGCAAAAGGCACATCGCTCCTGGGCTAAACGGGCCAGGATGTGCTGGGAATGCCTGTGCCTGTTGATTGTCCTTGGCCCGTGTGAATATGAATGGGGCATTCACAGCAAATCACTGTAAGATATGGTCTACGCATTGGTCCTCTACTGTGGTTGCATGTCGTAATATGTCGTTGACCCTGGGGAGCGTTAGGGAATGTTAGGGAGTGGGACGGCTGGAAGTTGGATCGGAAAGGAAAAAACATAGAAGGAGTCGAGATGGTGTGAAGACCAATCCTTCCTTTCGGTTCACCCTCCTTCCTTCCTTTCTTCATCTTTCTTCCCTCCCTCCCTCCCTCCCTGCCTTCCTTCCTCGAAATTACGCATAATATCTAGAAAGTCATCCGGACTAGGTACCGCATGCTACCGCAATCCCACCTCAAGACCCCCGAGCAAATTTGACCACATCATACCAGATCATACCACCTCTGCCATCCAAAGTCACCGATTCTCCACGATTTTTCTATTCATGCGATATAAAATCCCACTGAGGCTCTCATGCAGTATCTCTCAATCAATGAATTGTTTTCTCTAGACCTGACGCGATCTGACGCGCATCTAAGGTTCATGTCAAATGACCTGCCGACTACCATCCACTCATATCCACTCCATGTGCAGCCCAGACACTCTTCCCACTGCGCAGGCCCCAAGTGCTGAAATCTAGCTATGCTATGCGGCTGAAGCTCCAGGTGATAGGCAGCAGAGCGCGCCAGCCAGTGGCTGTTGTACCTCATCATTGTCCACTGCGTCCACTCACACACCAGACATCAGCAGACTGCATGGAGCCTCATGACATACTAAAGGTTTCCCAGTGAACTATAATGAACTGCTTAGAGATGCTTAGAGTTTCTGAAGCCGCAGAGAAAAGAAAAAATGAGCCAGCACATACCACCGATGCACACACCACACATGGGCAGATGTCTCAAGGCCATCGCGATCTTCCACACATCTATGCGGCCACCTGGCGAGATGCTGCACAACTCGACCGTCAATGGCCCACAGGAAGTCCATGCATCCAGCGCTGCAGGGTTCTGAACCAGTGAATGCACACCACTGGGCAGATGACACGCTCCACGTACATGAAGGGCTCGCGTGAGGCAACGCCTCTGAACCTAGTCAGTGGGCCCGGAAACTGCACCCATGAGGAGAGCACACAGCGAGGGAGAAACAAGATTTCGAATATTCTTTTCTCGAATATGTTGGTGTGCCATTGTATGCCATCAAATATCATCAGATTATGGTGCCATCATATGATGCAGAACACACGCTGGAACCCGTGGCGTGTTGTAGACAAGTCACATCTGGAATGTCGGACCATGCCTTTAGCGCAGCTCCGACAGCATTCTGACACACAGCACGTAGCGGCGTTCCACTCGACGCTGAGACAGCAGACTCTGAAAATGCTAATCGGGAACGCGGCTCCTTCAGAAGCATGTACAACCAGAAGAGCGGGGGACCATGTGGAGATCTCAGAAGTCTCTCCAAGCATGATCGCTGCCTGACCAAATCAATGGGTATGCTCCACAGGGAGAAGATCCGCCCATAGTCTGCCCAGTGCTCCACGTCAAAGACGATGGGAGCTGTCGGTGGAGGCTTCCACCACCGTGCCCGAGTGG